GGTGGTTCTGGATAGTATATAAAATGACTATATGTGTGTTGTTGTCATGGCGACCCCTGGTTCCTATCACCACCACTGTAAAGACACCTGAACCATCTCACACCAAACCACTCTGAATCACCCTGTTTACATCAACAACCACTGAATGAATGTTCAGAAATGTAGAAATTGGTGGAATTGTTACGCTTTGTAGCTAAAAAATCAGACCTTCTGTTTGACAAAAGTCTCCAGTCTGGGTCTGAAGCCCTGACATCCACATATACATGTGAATATACATCCACACTAATGTGGCATCTCAAGCAAACGGGTGTGACTTCCTGAGAATCCTATGGAGGAACGGAGTCCTGCAGAGGTTTGTTCGCAGAAAAATGCCTGAATGTGTAGATGAACTTTTGGTGAACCCAAACCTGCCCTCCCTCTTCCTTCTGTTCCTCTCTTCCTCCGTCCCCGTCGGGCCTCGGCGCTCGTCTTCCTCTCTGTCCCCCTCTCTGGAAACAACCATCTTTTTTGTAAACAAAGCAGACGTGTTGGTCGATGACTATTTGCCCCAGTTTCACTTCATCTAACGGACCAAGTGAGAGGTCAGCAACATGCGGCTCTTTTAGTAGGAGTTAATGTAGAACTGCTAATTCACCGTTTAACCCTGAAGATCAGTGCAGACTGCTGGTCACCATAGCAACACAGACAACAGTCTCGCCTAGTTAGTAGCTAACGAAACGGCAAAGAGAGAGATTTAAGATGAACATCGATGATTTGGAGACGAATGGACTTATTAGCATTAATAATCACTCCAGCTGGTTTCCTGATACGTTTCTCATTCGCCAGCTCAAAGTTTCCCGTTCCCTCTTAAAAGGTGTCTGAGGCGCCAGAATGTAACTGCTGCGCCGTTTAAAGTGGAACGGAAAAATTCGAATGAGAAGCTGGAGAATGAGAAGCGACTTCAGCCTTGTGAAAAGTCGAACATTGAGAGACATTTTATGGGAAACTGTTCTGCTTTTGCGGAAAAGTTTCCTGCTGGAGATGTGAGAAAAACAGCTGTAGTTGAGGCAAAGCTTAAAGCAGAGCAAAGTACGATTGTTTTTGTTTATATTTTTTAGTCTATACTAGCACATTAGCACTAAGGCCCAATACCGTTTCTTCTTTTTACCCCTACCCCTTGTCTTCGAGTGTCACCCTAACCCCTTGGAACTGAGATACAAGTGTTAGTGGTTGAAATCTTCCAATACAATGGGACCCTCAATTTAAACATCGTCAGGCTACTAGTGATAGCAGAGGAGGGTAAAGTTCGGCTCCTCACTGCTGGGCTTTAGTTACATTTAGGGCATCATATGACTTCAAAGAGGGGGGCAATTATTTATTATCACCCACCCCTAATTCTTCAGTGATATGAAGCTGAAGTCAGATATTCACCAGATTCTTGTTAGAATTTTCCCGTTCCACCTTAAATGGAGCAGCAGTTACATTCTGGCTCTTCAGGCGTCAGAACTGCTCGACTATTTAAGGTGGAACAGGAAGTTAGCTTATTATGAACAAAACGACCATAATACATTGAAACGACATTAAATTAAGATAATACAATAGTTACCATCATTTTTTAACAGAGAAGATTCTCACATTTGTGGGTTTCTTTGGTCTCTTGTTCTCCATCTTGCCGTTTTCTTTTTTCCTCATAACTCTCTGTTTGGAGTCTCTGAAAAACCTCTGTTTGGAGGGTCATGTAGCCCCAACACTTCACCCCCCCCCCCGTAACTCAACAAGAATCAGGACACCCTACCCCTAGACGTGAACGCGCAAAACAGAGGGCTAAGGGCTGAGTTGTAGGGGCGAGGGGTGAAATGGGACTGGGCCAAAGACATTTACAGCCAAGATGGTAAAACGTTACTTCAATAATACAGACATGAAACGTTGTTACTCCCACGGTGGTTTGATTTTTGTTGAAAGGACAAAATGGTGCTTCCTAACATTTTGGTTTGCGACCCCTGGCTTAGAGCAAAACTGGACTTTGAAAGAAAAGAATGAAAGATTATTCATATCATGTAAGCATATTTCATACACAAAGCTAGCAGGCGACAGCAAACATCTTCTCTTGGTCTTGTTTTGAGAAAACTTGGCGCATCTATCCATTTGTTTGCTCTAAGCATTGATCTAAAGTATCTGTGGGGGGAGAGTTATGTAAGTCTGGTTGTTGTCCGCTTAAGTACGATAAGCAGATCTGTTGTTTTGCAGGATTTGGCCAAACTGGACCATATAGATTTTGAATAAGAGGGACCCCAGAATTGAGCCTTGAGGCACTCCAAGTCTTTGTTTAGGATAAATGTCTGCCAATGGTGAAGCTGCCTCTGTTGTTTTAATACTGTTTATATTGTGTGAGGTTTAATGAAAAATGAAACAAGGAAGCTCACGATGAACGCAGGCCGCTACTTAGAGGAAAACAAAACACTTCCTCTGTACTTCAGAATTGAATGCAGGGGGAAGCACAGTCCACGCAAACTTGTGGTTAGTATGTTTCCTTATGGCTAAGGATTTAGATTGCGACTAGCACATTAGCTGGGGGCTAATTTATTACCTAGTGGCTAGCGTTTTAGCATATTAGCTTGTGGCTTTCGTGTTTGTTTTGTTTTATTCTAGGCTACTTCAGATTTCTTTTTCAGTGACCATGTTTGAAGTATTTTGGTCTGCTGGGCGGTCAGGTTGTGAACTGTTTTCTCAGCACAGACTAAACAGTCTTTGGAGAATCTGTGGTTTTAATGTCTTTCTGAAACCTGTCAGGTCACGTTTCATGTGTGTCACATGTGTGCAGCAGCTTTTCACCTGCAGAGTAAAATATCAAGTATTGAATTTTCACTACTGCTTATACAAACACAAGAAAGCTGCTCACATGTTCAGGAGCCACAAGTTTCCGTTCCTCTTATTACAATTTAAGAATAGCTTACTGGATAATATGAACTTACTGAATGTTGGTTCCTTTAAGGCCAACACAGAGAGAACGAGGAGGTATGTCTTTTCCCTCAGGCCATTCGGGCCCACAACCAGGACAACCACTAGGACTATTTATACACGCACACACAACTGGACTGCCACACAACACCCATATACCCTACATACACAGTACACACTGCTATAATTTATAAATATTTGTAATAATTTTTAACCTCTTTCAATTCTGCTGCCTCCTGCTCGTTTGAGCACATCTGCACTTTACGTTGCACATATTCTTGTGTTTTATTATATCAGTACCCTTTTCAAGTCGAGTCTAAAGACACATCCACAATAGAACTTTGCAGTTTGTATCACAGTTAGCGAGTCTGGCTAACTCGCTAGCCATTAACAGTAAAAACACAAAAATAAATATAATTATATACTGATGAAAGCATAGTACTGCACACTGCAGCAAAAAACATCTAGAAAACCGCACCAGTAACACACCTGACCTAACATGACCACACCTGTAACACACCTGACCTGACCACACCTGTAACACACCTGACCTAACCACACCTGTAGCACACCTGACCTAACATAACCACACCTGTAACACACATAATATAACCACACCTGTAACACACCTAACATAACATAACCACACCTGTAACACACCTAACCTAACATAACCACACCTGTAACACACCTGACCTAACATAACCACACCTGTAACACACCTGACCTAACATAACCACACCTGTAACACACCTGACCTAACATAACCACACCTGCAACACACCTAACCTAACATAACCACACCTGTATTACACGTAACCTAACCACACCTGTAATACACCTAACCACACCTGCAACACACCTAACCTAACATAACCACACCTGCAACACACCTGACCTAACATAACCACACCTGCAACACACCTGACCTAACATAACCACACCTGTAACACACCTAACCACACCTGTAACACACCTGACCTAACATAACCACACCTGTAACACACCTAACCTAACATAACCACACCTGTAATACACCTAACCACACCTGCAACACACCTGACCTAACATAACCACACCTGTAACACACCTAACCACACCTGCAACACACCTGACCTAACATAACCACACCTGTAACACACCTAACCACACCTGCAACACACCTGACCTAACATAACCACACCTGTAACACACCTAACCACACCTGCAACACACCTGACCTAACATAACCACACCTGTAACACACCTAACCACACCTGCAACACACCTGACCTAACATAACCACACCTGTAACACACCTAACCACACCTGCAACACACCTGACCTAACATAACCACACCTGTAACACACCTAACCACACCTGCAACACACCTGACCTAACATAACCACACCTGTAACACACCTGATCTAACCACACCTGTAACACACCTGACCTAACATAACCACACCTGTATAAAATTCTCAGTGTCCACCTTTGATTTGTTGTCTTTGTTCTATTTTTAATGAAATATCAGGTTTAAATGATTTGCATATCATTTGCATTCTGTTTTTATTTTTATTTTGCACAGCATCCTAACTTTTTTGGAAATGGGGCAACATTCAGAGAACATTCAGGGGGGAAATGTCTACAGGACAAAGCTGGTCACCACAGGATGTGATAGCTGTGATTTTTCGCAAATTATCAGTTTTTCTCAGAGAACATGACACAGATTTTTATAATCTGAACATCACGCCAACTGCCAAGTGACACGGCTTCAGAGGTCTGTTGGTCAAATGGTCGACTTTATGTGTCAGTTAATCAACATTGTTTAATGTGGTTTTGAGCCGCTTACTTCATACACACTGCTGCCTGGTTCAGTTCCTGTCTCCTCACACAGGTTAATAACTGATGATAACTGATGATGGACAGTTATCGGTCAAAAGAATTTGCCAAAATTTGCATCTCAACTTTTAAATGTGTTCATTTTAAGTGAAATTTCAGTATTAAATATCAAAGTTTTACTAAGTACCTCTCTCTCTCTCTCTCTCTCTCTCTCTCTCTCTCTCTCTCTCTCTCTCTGCAG